GTCCCCCACTCCCCCGCCAAACCCTGAAAACGCCTGCGTTCTGAACCGGGACAGATTTACTTCCTGCCGGGTCGCTCACATCTCCCCCACCTCAGGAAATCACCCCATTCCCCTCAACCCTGGCTCTGTCTGAACCCGGGCTCTGTACGGAATGAAGGAATGAGCGGCTCCGAGTGCGAACTGATGACACCAGGGGCCAACCGGCTGGTTGATGGGAGCCGGGCCGGGAGTAGGCCTGGGGCCCGCTGCTCACTTGGACCGGCCTCCCCGTTCACTGCTCCATCAGTGCTGGAGGTGTGTGTATGAGAGAGAGAGAGAGAGAGAGAGAGAAAAGTACAAACCTGTGGCTGGGAGTTTGTGAGGGTTATTTTTTGAAGCGAGCTCGGTGCCTGTCCTTCTCTCCGGTTCCTACAAACGCCAAATCCCTCTCCTCTCCTCCCGGGCCTGCCGTCTGGACGTGGCAAAGCGCAGCGAGCATGCGCACTCACACATAAAGATTAGCATTTCCCTCCCAGCATTCATCATTTTAACTTTTTAACATTTTTCAGGAAGTCAGTCCATCTGAAGAATTTGTATTCCATAAAAAGATAAATTTTTCTTTCTGTTAATATAGTTTACAGAAAAAAAAAGTAGGCCATTCAGCTCTTGGAACTGGTTCTACCAATCTGGCTGATAATTCCAACTAGGGACCTTGTCCCCACTTTCTTGACATACCCTTTGATCTCTTTAGCCATAAGAACTATATCTCACTCCATCTTGGAAAACATCCAATATTTTGGTCTGAATTGCTTTCTGTAGCAAGAATTCCACAACCTCACTATTTTATCTCACCTTAGTCCCAAAGGGTCTACCCTATACCCTTTGACTGTGACCTCTGCTCCTGGACTCCCTGATCATCAAGAACATCCTGCTTTTATGAAGAAGGGTCACTGACCCAAAATGTTATTTCTGATTTGTCTCCACAGAGTTAATATTTCGGGTCTGGTGACCCTTCCTTGGAACTTCCTGAGTTCTGAAGAAGGGTCACTGGACCTGAAACGTTAACTCTGATTTATTCTTCACAAATGCCCCCAGACCTGCTGAGCTTGCAGCAACTTCTGTTTTTGTTCCTGATTTACAGTATCCGCAGTTCTTTTGGTTTTTCTTCTCTCCACAGATGCTGCCAAATCTGCTGAGATTTTCCAGCAATTTCTGTTTTATTTCTGATTTCCAGCATCCACAGTTCTTTTGGTTATTTTACATCCTGCATTTACCATATCTAATCCTTTTAGAATTTTATACATTTCTATGAAATCCTCTTCTTTTAACCTTCAGTGGATATAGTCCTGACCAATCCTGTCTCTCTCCATACATTGGTTTTGCTATCCCAGGGATTGGTCTGGTAAACCTTTGGTGCACTCCTTCCATAGCCACAATGTCCTTCCTCAGATAAGGAGTCCAAAATTGCACAAAATATTCCAGGTGTCGTCTCACCAAGGCCTGTACAAGCAAAATTATAATTTGTCATATTTTAAAAATCGTTTCACAGGGAGTGAGTGTCATTGGCCATGCCAGCATTTATTACCATCCTTACTTAGCCATGAGAAGGTGGAGATGAGCTGCCTTCCCAAGCCACTGCAGTCCACATGTTGTAGGTACATCCGCAGTCCTGTTCGGAAGGGACGGGAAAGTGCCTGTCCTCTTACAAGTTTAGTGAGTGAGAATTGTGAGTATTGTGCAAAGGGAGATTGGTTCATTTCATCAAATCTTACCTATTGAGGGAATTGTAAGATTCTGTCAAATGCCATCCATCAAATATCATCCAATTCTGCTTTCAGAGCAACAAACTGTCAAAATCTGCTGCCAAACGCTGCAAATATGCAGGTCATCTCAGACTCAATGTTTTCCTAAATAGACAAAGTCAGAGGTTATATGTCACCAGGTTATAGTCCAAAAGGTTTATTTAAAATCACAAGCTCCAAAAGTGTCGTGTGACTTCTGCCTATGTCCACCCCAGTCCAACACGGACATCTCTACATCAGTTCTGAATGGAGCTATCCTTCAGCTTCTATAAATGCTGTCTTGACCAAAACATTGCTGCTCATGTCCTATCTCACTATCCTACTCATTGATCATGCATATGCTTCTAGAATCAAAAAATTAGAATGTAGGCAAAGCAAGTAATTAGGAAGACAAATTTAATGTTGGCTTTTTAATGTGGGAATTGCAGTATAAAAGTAAGGAAGTCTTATTACAACTTTACCATACATTAGTGAGACCATACCTAAATATTATGTACAATTTCAAACTCCTGACTTAGGAAGGGATATCCTTGCATCGGTAACAATTCAGAGAATATTCACTAGGCTAATTCTTAGGATATTGGGGTTTTCTTATTTGGAAAGCCTAAGCAGGTTGGGCCTGTGCTCTTTAGAATTTAGAGGAGTGAGAGGTGACCTTATTGAAACATATAATGTTTTAATGCAGCTTTAAAAACACTGAGAGAATGTTACCCTCATTGGGGATTATGGAACTTAGGGGCATAATATTATTAAGACTCCATAAAAAACTAAAATGAAGAGAATTTTTCCTTTGAATGCCATTATTCTTCCAAATTCTGTTCCACAGAGAGCAGTTGAGGTTGAATCATTGAATATATTCAAGACTCAGTTAGACTTTTCTTCAACAAGAGAGCCACAGGTTCTGAGTGGCAGGCAGGAAAGTGGAGTTAAAACGATAATCAGATCAATCATGTAACCTCCTTCAGCATGTTCTATATAAACATAGTCAGAAATCGCACAACACCAGGTTATAGTCCAACAGGTTTATTTGAAAACACAAGCTTTCAGAGCCACAGGAAGGGTCTTCTGAAGAAGGGTCCAGACCCGAAACATCAGCTTTCCTGCTCCTCTGATGCTGCCTGGCCTGCTGTGTTCATCCAGCTCTACACCTTGTTATCTCTTTCAGAGCCACAGTCCTTCTTCAGGTGTTAGTGAGGGAGGTATTATCAGACACAGAATTTATAAGTAAAAGGTCAAAGGTTCACACCATTGATGATGATGTACTAAACAAACCTAAGATGCTGTTAAATCTTTAATTAGTTAAAAGATTTTAATTGATTAATCTGTATATATAAATCCCCAAATTCCTTTCAAGTCATGGTCCTGAGAGAAGTGAAGGTTTTATCAGTGTAAAGAAGAGGTAACATTTTAGGTCAGACAATGCATGTTAGGTGTGAGGCCTTGTTCAGAATCTGTGTTTTAGTTTGGAGCCGGACTGGATTTATATCTAAAGTAGGAATTAATAAAACACTATATTGACTGACTGGCAATAAATTGTGTGCTTTTTGAACAAAATAAAATGTATCTGCAAATATAAATTCACCCCATAGATTCACGTGTGTGTATGGGGGTGGGGGGCGGGGTGGATTCATCAATGGTATGATACTATCTCTTCCATTAACACCTGAAGAAGGACTGAAGCTCTGAAAGCTTGTGTTTTCAAATAAGCCTGTTGGACTATAACCTGGTGTAGTGTGACTTCTGATTTTGTCCACCCCAGTCCAACACCAGCACCTCCACATCATATGTAAACATAAGTTTGAGCACTTTACAGGGAGAGGGAGATACATACTGGGAGATGGTTTTTGAGAGTTGGCAAGGGAAAGTGTTTTTGGAAAAGAATTCAAGACTTGGTTTAAGTCGCTAAAACAGAGGCAGGAAAGAATAAACAGTACTGTAACCTGGAATCAGAAAAACAGAGCTGATGGATAGAGATGTAGGGTTGGAAATGACTTCTCAGATAGATTTGACTGAAATGAAAACTTATTTACAAAGAGCTAATGAAGTAATGGCTTATAGCTATGTGGAATCATACTTAGGAGAGAATTTGGACTGAAAACCTAGTTTATTGAGGTAGGAGGCTGGTACTTGTTGAAATGAGAAGTCATGGATGAAGGTTTCAAAAACAGTACAAGTGAAATGGGAGAGAGGTCAGAAATGCTCCATAGGTGGTATAAGACTGTCTGAGATAAGAGCCTGAAATAGGACTTAAGATTATATTGAGTGCTAAGGATAATAACTGGATGATTAAATATAAGATGTCCAGAGGTATACAGCCTTACAGTTTACTGGACATGACTATGTGGACACAGGAGAATATTGTTTTGACAAAGTAATCATGGTTTATGAGAAGGAAATTGCGTTAGACAAATTTATGAGAATTATTTGGGGATGCAGCAAGTAGGTGGATTTCAAAAATCATTTGAATGGTAGTTTTATAAGATAAAGGCTCATGAGGTTTGGGTAATGTACTTACATGGCTGGATAATTGGTTGATATGCAGGAAACAGATATTGAACTTAGAATAATGGTTCATTTTCAGGTTGGCTGGCGTCTACTCGTGGGTTGCCACAATTGCTACTTAAAATCTATATTAATGATTTAATTGAAGGGACTGAGTGTAACTGAAGTTTGCTGATGATACAAAAATTAGTGGAAAACAATGCTAGGAGGAAGACTCTAATCTGCAAATGAACATTGGGAAGTTAGATGATTGGCAGAAGATGGCAGATGGAGAATAATGTAAGAAAACATGAGTTTATTCATTTTATTACAAAGAATAGTAAGACAGAATATTTTTAAATGATAAGAATTTATTAAAAGTCAATGTGCAGATGGTTTTAAATGTTCCTATACATGAAACAGAGAAAATTAATGTGCAGTATAACAATAAACTAGGAAGTCAATTGTTACCAAAGGCATTTCTTGCAAAGGGTTTGGAGTACAAATATAAGGAAATTTTTGCTGCAGATATATCAGGTTATTTGTGATAAGTCAGAGAGCTGTGAACATTTTTAATCCTTTATTTAAGAAAATTAGTTCCTGGAATGGGAATTTTGTCCTAATCAGAAAGATTTAGTAGAATGGACCTATACATCTAGAATTTAGAAGAATGAGAGCTGATATCATTGAAACATGTAAGAGAGTTTGACAAGGTAAATGTTGAAAAGCTGTTTTCTCTAGCAGGGAAATCTAGAATTAGAAACTAGGTGGATGGTCTTGGGATAGGGAGTCAATCATCTGGGGCTGAGATGATGTGAAATTGATGAAACTTAAGAGGTTGGCCAGGATTTCCACCAGCATTTTGAGCATATTGAAAGGTGAGCTAGGCAGATTTTTGAACTTTAAGGGAATCAGGGGACATAGGAATTGGATGAAGTTGAAGATCAGCCATAATCTTACTGATCGGTAGAGTCGGCTTGAGGGATCATATGGCCTGCACGAGCTCCTAGGTGACTCAATTTTTCAAAAGCTGAAACTAGGATAAATTGAAAAGCTATGATACATTTTCGCACTATGATGATTGACGCATTCGTCTGCCAATGGCTGTAGAAGTAGGGAGGTCATGATTGACATCTCCAGAATCTGTCCAGCCAGAGTTAGCAACCCAATTCTATAAAACATTTCAAAGAGATCATCAGGATTGGAGCCATCATTATTTTATGCAACTATCATTAC